TGTGTGTTGTAATATTTCGTGATGTACCGTAATCACATATATGGACGAAAAACTCATATATAATTTTATATAATCATATGTAATCATTTTTTCCGAGACGTTTAAATAGCTTTCTCAAGACTTCAGAGAAGAATATTAAAATCATACACATCCCTAATAGCATACTGAAAAAAGTATTACATTCAAGTAATATTTACGTCAAATATTTCAAATAAAATGATTACTCTAATAATCCTCAGCAAATAGTTGTTTGAATGCAGCACTATTTTCCTTTCAATATACTAATTATGAACTCATATTTGAATATTCATATATATTCATTGTACACTCTAGGGAATTTTACCTTCAGAATGATAAAATCTATCTATCTATCTATCTACTTTGTCCCCTTTTCTCCTCTCGAAAAAAGCTTTATGATAAAGTGGACGCTTGAGGAATGGTTCTTTTGTCGGAAAATGCGCGCGCAAAGTAGCGACATTTGCGGACCGCCATTAGACACATATATAGCAATTAATTGTCAGTTGCGAGAGCGAAGTAACATACGATCTGGTCGCAACGGTATCCTCCCTTCCGTCCGCGAATGCCGTTTCGCTCTTCCGTCACTGACCTTCTTCGAAGCGCGTTTCGCTCGCTGCACTGCCATCGATCGTGGCATTTATGCTATCTGGCGTTTCAATTTTTTCCTCTCTTCTTATCCTTCCTCTTCTACTTGTCCTTCTCTTTCCTACCTTTCTCTCTCTTCCCTCTCCTTTTTTATTACGGAATCAGATAGCGTCGATGCCTATGATGATTTATCGATAAGTCTCGGGCCGACTTACTTTTCGCATGCGTTCTTACGGGCTGTCTCGTTCACGAGACCTGCTGAGTGATCGTGATTATTCAAGAGCCGCTACATGAAAGCGTGAAAGTTTCATGCTCGCGATGGGCGAAAGACGCGATTCTTCTTGTAAATATTCGAGATTCACCCTCGCGGTTCGGAACGAAGTTTAATAATTACAGAACTCACCCGCCGTCGCTGTCGCTTGCATTCCCCCTCAAGTTTGTTGCGCGGTTTCTCATCGGGGCTCCTTTTCCGGTATCGGTGGCCGATTGCAACAACGTGACATCGCCGGCGAGTCGACGAGGATGATCGATCGATTTTGAGACGTGCCGCGAGTTGAATTCCCACGAGCACCGGCAGAGAGCCGGGTCCCTTTGCTAGTTGGAGAACCCTTGTGGAACTTGAATCCCTCCGAGCGAGTCTCGTAAGAGCGAATGTAAAATGAACGCCGATAAAACGAACGAAACAACCGCTCGTCCCGCGCATCTCAAATTCCCGGACATTATTTTACATTTGGCTGTAACAGTGTACTGTTTTGCCGTTAATCTGCGCATGATCGAACGAAGAAGAAGAAAGACATGGAGTTATCGGAGATGCATTCGTTCGAGTCGTACGAGTACGGCTCAATTAGGCAAATTGCGTCTTATTCGTTTCCCGTTTCACGTGTATTTGCGTATGTATGCATCGCTGAATCAAGTTGTTTGACAAGAACGACTTTGAGAAGAAGCATCCCTCTGTCAAATTGAAATTTACGTAAATCCACGTTTTGCTCGCGATACTCGCGTGTACCTCGTTCTCTGTATTCTTTATTATCGTTTTTGCTCCTTGTTAACTTTTCAGCCCTGGATAGAGAGAGGTATTATCGTTACGAGGCGAAATGGCGACTAATTTGAGGGGGAAAAATTTCTCTCTTTAGTCTAAAGTTAACGCATGGTATGTGGCCTACATTGCACGACGCGGCATTACGACGCAGAAATACCGGTAGCTTTAGCCTGTGATCTTCTCTCGCGGCTCTCTTTCTCTCTCTCTCTCTCTCTCGGCGAGGGCTTGACGTTATTTTAACAATCGGGGCGCTTTAGTCTAAATTATCTCGGTGCGCGAACGCGATAACATCCGGCGATCTTCGTGCCGGCCAGCCTCATTGTTAAACATAGCGACAACGCGACACGTTGTATATGACGTAACACATCATAAAGTGTTGAGGACAGTTTGCGCGGAAGCGTTCGCGGCATCAACGGTGTGTGTATCCACGGTGTAAACCCTTTCCAAATGTAATGTACAACTTGCATCATTATAGCGAAATGATGGTCTTGTCCTCCTATTAACTGCAGTTCGCGACGTTTAAGAGGCGGTAGATTTAAATTCGTGCAACGCGAGTCGCAAAGTGACATTTCAGAGCCCATTAACTACGTTTTAAAGCCAATTAACTTGGTAAATACTTCGGAATGTGATATATTCAACGTATAATTATAGAAAGTAACTAAAAAATGCAGATAATTATCGAAAAAGAATGACAATGAGAAAGCGAGAGAGAGAGAGAGAGAGAGATGGAGGGAGGAAAGGAAACGAACGATGGTGGAGATTTCAAGAATTTTCCTTGTGCAATTTTCTCGCCAGCGAGCACACACGTATAATTGCGAGCACGTCTTCCGAAAAGTCTGACAAGAAAAGCGGCGAACGTCGCGGTGAAAATGCTCTTTACAAGAAACGCAGCGAGCTACTTCAACTGCGATTTCAGCAGTAGGTCATGCGATTCGTCGCGTCATAAATATCGGTGGGAAACGACTTCCCGGAGCGTTGTAACGGATCCCGTATGCTGCTCCCAAAAGCCGAAAAGCAGTATCGTTATTCCGGAGAAAATCTTCGGGAGCCGCACGTATTGCGATACCACTGTCATTGGCACCGTCTCTCGGCGCGCATCTCTCTGGCTGTTGCGCGCACGTATAAATTATTTTTCACGTACGTGTGCATTCGTAAATATCTCATCGGTCACGCCATTTGTTCTTCCTCCTTCCTCTCTTTCTCTCTGTGCACCGTATTGCTTTACCGTGGAGACCCAAGTAAAAATTTTCGCTCAATGTTAAATCTTTAATTCTACAACGCGATAACAGCCAAGATAGCGAAATAGATTCAATTTCAATTTTCGGCCATCTATTAGGCGGGAATTATGCTTGGATGCGTTAAAGCAGCATCAAAATTTCGACCCGTGGGTGCAACACAAACACAAGATAACGATTGTGCATCGTGTGCGATCGTGTGTGTGTATGCAAACGTCGAATGGCACAACGATGCAAATTTCGCCATAAAAATTCTCCTGTTCGTGTGTTTTCACGCGTGTCGCGCGAAATAACGTATCGTAAATTCCCGCGCGAGAACACGGAATACACGCAGTGAGATACCGTCGCGCTGTTGCTGCTGTTGCCGCTTTTTAACCTCGCGCTGTTCCGTAAACTTAGCAATATTCGAGCCCCAGCTCGCGATACCTCCTCGCGCAAACGTGAATAAAACGATCGATTTCGAGCGGCAATTAAAAGAGCACGGTATTTTCCGCGACCGAGATGACTGCGCGCGCTCGCTCCTAGAGAAAAGCTCTTATCGCCGCGGAAATATCGTTCGCGCAAGAATGGCAAAGGTTTGCATTGCAAATCCATTTACTTTGTTATTCGGACGCAATAATCCGGCCGCCTAACGACGCCCGGCCGCCGCCGCCGTGTATGCGGATCCGTGCGCGCATATTTCCGGACGAAAACCGCGAAGGCATCCCAACCTTCTCTCTTTCTCTCACTCACACCCCCTCGGTGTGCTCTTTCACGGTGAGATCGCGGTTTTCGCTCTATGACCGCGACCGGCTGTAGCTGGCTGCATTTCCGAGGAAACTGCGAAAGTTCCGTTTTCCTTCTCTCTCTCTCTCTCTCTCTGTCTTTATCTCTCTCATAACCACTGCCACGTTCGCCCGTTCCCTTACAATTGCACGAAGTGACGTTACCCTCGTCTTTTCGCCGCTTCACCTTTCTTCCTACCGAATTCTCCTTCCGTTCTTCTTTCCTCTGTTCCCTTGTTCTTTTCGTCACTGCCTCTCTCTCTCTCTCTCTTTCTCTCTCATTGTCGTTTTTCCACAGAGTCCCGCTTTTTAATAATTATTCCACGAGTCAAGAGAGCAAGGTGGAAACATGCCGAGACCTAACGAGTCAAACTCCGGAGCGTCGATTCTGTTAGACGCACGGACGCCTCCGGAAACAATATAAGCAAAGTTCGGACGGAGTTCCTCCGGTTGCTTCCTGCTCCATTTCCGGAACTTATGGAAAGACCGAAGAAACGGAATTGCGTTTTCCGCGCGCGCGATCTTTTCTTCTCACTCCTGTATCCCTCTCCTCTGAATATGGACCAGCAGGGAGAGAAAGAAGCATCCGGGAAAGGAAGAGTAAGACACTCCGGTGGGCGCATCGGGATAATAAAATAATAAATTTTGGGAGCGCGACGACTAAATTCTCGCGCCTGTTTCCGGTGCATTCGAATTTTAGCTTTTCCGCCACCACCACGTTGCGCGTCCGCAACGTGACTTTTGTTTTTGTTTATTCGCGCGCTCCGCACTACGTGATGCATATACATGAACAAAAACGATATAGAACAACGTACGCACTGCGGCATCAACCCCGGCAAGTAACCCGGCCGATTTCAGTTCGCTCGCTCGTGATCCTCGTTAAATTCGCGTAAGAAGAAAGATGAATGTATAATACACTGCAAAATCGCGCGTAATCGTTTCGTGAAACTCCCGAGAGATGCATCGACCGTTTCGACCACGTGTATTGTCAATCTCGGAGAATACATTACGTATACGCGATCCTGCCGCTGGATAAATGGGGAAAGGGATTACGCGAGAAGCAATCTTGCATTGCACAAATATACAATAAAAGCGGAAGAAACAAAGCGACGCTCTCTCCGCTCGGGGGAGGACTCCCTTGATTATCGATTCCCGCCTGTTTCCAATTCGCAGTTCCTCCGTTTTATTTGTCTTCCCGATTACACGGCATGAGACCACTGTAATATTCATTTATCGATGCCCTGATACCGTATCGGTGTGTGTATATGTGTGTGTGTCTGGTTAATATATCCATGGAACGAATACTCGGGCCCTCGGTAAGGACGTCCGACGTCCCTCAGCTTCACGTTTGGATTTCAGAACACGGAGAACACGGGGCCCTTCTTTGCGAATCGCGCGCGGCCGCACCGCAACCTCGTCGACGATCGCCTGGACTGCATTCGTAAAAACTACGGGGGATGCGAGACACGGTGACGGGCGATGACGGGACAAGCGTGGGGGTCGAGGTTCCTCCTCGTTCTGGCGACGATCACGATCGTCATCGCCAATTATCAGCGGCATCGCGACAGGTCCCACCTGCGCGAACAGCTTGTTAACGGCCGCAAAATCACCAGGAATATCAGTCAACTGCAAGGTGCGTTACACGAGACGACTCGAGATATCCATCCGCGAAAGAGACACCGCGATTATGTTTTTTTGCCGAACGTGTCGAGAGCGAGACGTCGCTTGAATGAACAGTCCCGACAAATTCTCTTAACCCGTTCAGAGCACTTCACTTTCCAACATAACGATTCGTTGAGGAGAAAAAATTAATCCATCAATAAAAAATATAACTTATTGTTGTTCAGGCAGCAATATTAACCCCTTCGCTTTCATAACTTAAGACGCACAAGTGAGTCCGACGCGACGGACGCGTATTGACGGACAAACGATACTTGAATTCGCGCAACAATTCCGCGATACCGCTGTAATAATATAATAAACGCGAGATCCGAAAGGGATCGAAAGGAGAGAGGAAGTTCGGTCGGCTTAATTATCCGCTCTCTAAAGTTGATCACTACGTACGGCCGCCGGGTCGCCGGGAAACTGCAGAAGCTGTAAGAGTGATTCGTCTGGCGCGAAAGTTAGTCGGACTTTCCGTGTGCACCTCGGCTCACCGCTGAGCCCCGAGCGAGGGCACGGGAGGAGAGCATCCAAGTTTCGACGCCCTGTAAAATTTTACGACGTGCCGCGATCTACGGTGATCAGACCTCTTTCTCTTTTTTCCTCGTGTAAGGTGTACCTCGACGCGCGAGAAACGCGTCCTCGTGCGACGTTTCCCCCTGACGTAAAAGAGAGGAGGACACGCCGCTTTTTCCAAGTAATTAAAGCGACGCAACGAACATTGCCGTTAAGAGGATTAGAAGATTGCTAGTTTTTCCTATTATTTTACGATCTTTTTTTTTTCTCTTTCTTCCCTTCTTCTTTTTTCTTTGTTCTTGCGCGCGCGTACTTTGCGTTCTTGGAAATTTTAATTGCGTCGTCTGTTCCATTTCTCTGTCTCGACGTCGGCACTGCCGCCAGCACCACCGCTACGTTTGCGAGGCTCTCGTCGTTGTCATTTTTGCCATGTCTCGCTACGCGTTTATAGGAATCGTTTCGTATTCTTCAAAAGCTCAGCGGCGGGTTGGTTCTCCCATCGAATATCAATTCAAACGTCAATTCCGCTCGCTCGCTCGTCCGGATATTTACTTTCAACGCAAATTTACAGGCTGACCTCTTCGCTGAGAAAGAAATAGATAGATAGATAGATAGATAGATAGAGAGAGAGAGAGGGATCTGGCGAAAAGATCCGCGCATCCGTTTCGAAGCAGCTCCGTAGCAGCGCTCGGACTTCAATCCGGCCGAACCGATTAAGGCTTTAAAGAGTGGTGTCGGCCGCCCTGCAGTCAGCCGTATATGCTGAGGATCCTCATGCAAGTGCAATTTCGAGTCTCGTCGACGAGGGTGCGGCGAAAAAAGTCGCAGAGCTGCGCTCGAGACACGTCTTCTTATGTCATTTCGTCGTGACGTCGCTCGAGCTCTTTGTACCTCGAAGCTTATTATCGCGGAACGTCAAACAATTCCCGCTGCGCGAAGGATATATTAAAGTGTACGTAAAGTAAATAAAAGTATTACATGTATATAAATGAGATATAAATTACGACTCTCTACAAAGACACACGGAGGAAAGTATATTACGACGCATAGCGCACGTACTTGCAGACTTTTCGCTCTCGTCTTATCGACCTGTAGATTCGGAAAAAAGTCATTTTCGTGCGAAGATCTCTCTGTCTCTCTCTTTATTTCCTGTGTAATAGCGTTTGCATTATACCTAGTGGTTTGGAGTGACATGTGCGGTTTCCTGTCCTGAAATCCTCATGAAAGTCTAATCCGGTCGTCGGTAAGATCGCTTCTCGAAAGCCGCATTTACGGTAATACGATGCAATTTCATCAAGGATTTTGGAAAAACCACCGCTACCACCACCGCCGCCTCCAACGCCATCGTCGTGGTTTCATTGCATTAAGGTCGACGTAACTCTGTCTGTAAGTGTACGAAGAAAAGTTCTCGGGCCGGTTTTACTTCGTCGCGAGCGAAAAAGGGGAATACTTTTAGTTGTACCACTTTTGCACCATTTGTCGTGCATTTTTTATAGTTCCTTTTCACTTCCTGCGAGACAGTTTAGACAGATCGAGGTGGACGGGCGTGATGTAAATTTCTCTCGCCGAAATGTATCGAATTAGAAATGTAATTATTGCGATTTGGTTAATGAACGAATCGATCGGCCGATATCTTCGCGTGTGCGCGAACACACACGCAATGTATGTTTATTCGGGCGCGCACGCGAACGTGGACGCATAAGTGAATAAATATGGTCAATACAAGCTGCTCGATGCAGTAACGATCGGCCGCCGTAAACGATGTAACGTGCAGCGAGAATAATTTCCGCGGAACGGTCGCGGAATCGAGTCGCATCGCGTCGCACCGTCGTCTCCTGTCGTGTCGCGAAAACTCAAAATTCTCGTCCCGGGAAGAATCAAGCGAATCAGTTTGTACGTGCGCGATATCGGCGCTTTTGTCGAGAGACGAGAAAGTTGCGTAGCGGTCGGATAGCCGTCGTCTGGATCGACCGATGAAATATTCAATTCAAAACTCGTTTGCGACTTGTCATTCGATTGCACAAGTACAGTGGCATTCCGGCGTGTGTGGACGCATAAGTGTTGGCTGCACACGTGTATATATTGTCCGGGGCTATTTGCGAAGTTTGCCATTGCCCATTCGCGTTGTGCATTTTACGGCTTCGGGCCGTAACGTCACACTGAGAATTGGAAATGAAATCTTCGCGTCTACCTCACTGGCATATGCCACCACCATATCGTGATTCGGGAAATAACTTTTTCGGGAAATTACGATTCACGCACCGGCTCGGGTGTATCAATTTCCACAAATTCTGCGCGAGTACGCGCGAGCGCACGCGCTTTTAATTCAACGTTGTAGTGTATATCTGCGCTGATGTAAAAATATAATAAAAAAGAATACTACGGCACCCAGCAACGAATAAGTGCTGCGTGCCGTAGTATTCTTTTTTATTATATTTTTACATCAGCGCAGATAATTAAAACGATGTTGATGTAATCCGAAAGCGCCGTGACAACATTGCTCGAAAATCATCACATCAAACAATAAAAACGGATATAGACGTCATCAGAGCCAAAGTAGGTGTAAATTATATTATTGAAATTGAAAAATGGAATCCATTTTGCTATTTTCATCTACTTTGTTGTAGAATTAAAGGTAACATAAGGCTAAAATTTCGACTCGAATGGTCGCGCTATACAATTTCACATTTTTCGAGCTTTACACATACACATACACACACATACAGACACATATACGCGAACGGATTGATGTCTCGATTACTCGTTAAATCCCAGCAATTTTCATAACGCGTGTTATCTTTCGGCATACACGGAAATGTAGAGAATACGTGTTACATCGTGTCGATATGATTTAAGTAGTTTTAGTCAATATTCAGGCAGTCTGCTATAGCGGTTTACTATACATCCGTGCTTGAAGCCTGAACGGGAATTGAATAATGCGTCGATATTGCTATCACACACCGTTACGAGGGTAGTTAACGACTGGATCTCATTTACGTTGTATCACGTTTGGCTCGGATCATTGTAACAAACAACGTAAAGGGTCAAACATCAACCGTGCGTAATATGCACGTTGACAAGGCGCACGGATTTAACGAAGTGAATAACGACATTCTCGAGGTTTTAACGAGCCGATCTGACATTCTGCGATTCTGACGTAATATTTTTCATCTTGCGCACATACGAAAGATACCGTAACTTTTTCTCAAACTACTCAACCTTTTTTAATGTGCAAAGAAAATATGAAATTCGAGTGCAGTTACTTTTTGAGAATAATTTATAAAAATTAGACCTTTGCAAAATCGATCCTTCCGACGGCAATTGACATTCACGTTGGTTATGAAAACAATTTAGAATATTTTATTTCGATTTGCATATCATATTGCGATTTGTATTTTAAACGATACTCCCGAATTCCGGGAGCGGAACAGACAGGAATCGATGGATATTCCGGTCACATTAACATAACAATTGTTCCAAAGCAGCACTGTTGACGAGAATCCCTTTGTAGTATTTGTGATATCAAACGAAACAACGTAGGGGGAGATACCGTGCAGTAGACAGTTATGGTGCACCAAACTTCTGATTTGTAATGAAGCGTGTGCGCGCGGAACGCTCGGAATACATAGCAGGAAGTGAATCCGTCCGTGTTGACATTTGACCTGTACATTATGCCGCGCAATTAGCTTCATTAGCTCCATTAGTATATTTTCGTCGTACCGACAATCAAATTGAAAATACACACGGCGCAAAAATTCTATGTAAGAAAATTTTCCGATGGGAAAGAAAATATTTTACACGACCGATAGAGACGCTTCTTGAAAGGCGTTCACGTGATTTGATACTTATTTTTCGCAATATATTAGAAGAGCGGCATGCTTTTGTCTATACAATTACCAACGCTAAATATATATATATTTATCATTTCAGTTATAATTTCAATCGAAAGATTTCTATGATTTTTGCAAAAGTGATAATACGAAGCCGTGAGTGGAAATACCGTCTGATATTTACACTTCGTGCAAAATTAATTGTGTCTTATTTGTGATTTTAAGTTAATGAGTTTTACATTAAAAATTCCACATTCTATTCTATCTTTTCTAAAGAGTCAGCGAGCATGAACGAAAAAGAGAAAGAGAGAGAGAGAGAGAGAGTGGGGAGGGGGGAAATAAGAAAGACGGAAGGAGACGGACAATTTTAAACGCGATACCTCGCAGCGGATAAAACGGTAATTAAATTACACGAAAATTAGCTCCACCTTCCGTTCGTTTCCATAACATTCGTACGCGGGAGATGTTCCCGGAAATGGCGATCCAATTACAGCGGCTAATTCTGACGGTGCAAGTTGTATAAGAGAAATGAAACTGCATAAATACTTGAGCGCGTTGCGCGTCAAGGTAACGCGGCCGGAGGAACGAGGGTGAAACGCATGTTGTAAAGGAGAGCGGGAGGGAA